TAACAGTTGTTTGTATTACAGGGATTGTTTGGACTATTTAATATCCCTATCAAAGGATGCATTATTTGTCAAACAGTCCAAAAGCAAATCAAAGAGAAACTTGAAGAATGTTGCTAATCCTTTGTCACTCTAAGTATGACATGTAAAAGCCAGTGAAAAGCTGTGCTTTGCCAATTGAAAGAAAAATCACAGAATCATAAACTCATTTAAATTGGAAAGACCCCTAAGATCATTGAGTCCAACCACTAACACAGCATTGCCAAGCCCAGCTCCCAACTCAACCCCCAGCACACGGTGTTGACCATTAAACCACGTCCCCAGGTGTCACATCCACGCCCTTGAGGGACACTATTAGCTTTTCTATGACCTTGGCTGCTTGATCTCAGCCCAGCTAACAACAGCTGTGTCTTGGAGCCACGAGGTAGCTACAGGAGCATTACAGAACTGAAAGGTGGGTGTGCTTCTTTCATTAGAGAGCAGTTTGCCCCAGTCTGTGGCTACCAGTCAGTTTTGTGCTGGCACTGGGATGGGTCAGGGCTCTGAAGGCCCCAGGAACATGGAGCTGCTCCCATGGGCAGCACTATTTCCACAGCAGCAAGTTTCAGGAGGGACAGTGAGAGTCAAAGTTACAAATAACACAGTCAGCAGTGTTTGATCAGTTAATGAATGCTCATGAGTCAAGGGGACTGGATTTCACAACCCCAAAATCCTCTTCTGGCCTGCTATCCCCTTGAGACTAATTGGCTCTACTTTATTAAAGACTTGAACTGCAAACTTCATCTACTAGAAGAAAGAGTCATGTGGCTCTTTCTAATCCGGTACTGTGACTTGTAAAATCAGAAGAATAAAAAGAAGATGTTAAAAATATCAAGTAAAATCTAAAGTTGGAGCAGAACTGGCTTTTATGTGTTCAGTCAAAACTGAGTTCACTAGATACAGTAGTATTTCTTTGAATGGAACAAATAAGTCTCAAAGATTTTATAATGAATACCCCTTGCACACATTTGTACAATGCAGTCTATAAAAATGGGACGAGAGATGTCATTCCTAAACACAGACAACAGGACACTTTTCCCACAACTCCAATAACAAGGTATAATTTTCTATCTGATCCTATTTGGCTTTTCCATAAGGAACTGTAAAAACCTCTCAAAATCCTGGCACCAGTGAGTGCAATAGGAATCCTAATGCTTGCTCTGCTGGAGCAGAATTTCCCTCTTCAAGAATAAAGCCTTGGGAGGAAAAAAATAGTGTGTTGGTTTTGTGGCTGAGCCAGCTATTTAACTCCACGAGCCAGCAGAAACAAAGGGAAACCAAATAAAACTACAAAGCTACAAATGCTCCTTTTGGACAAGTGAGCCAAAACTCTTTTGACATTTATGGCTCTACCCATCCCTACCTGATAAGTCATACAGAAAGCTGCAACTGCAGATAGCAGCAGTCATGGAAATAAATTTTATTATGTTGCATGTACAGTACTAGTACAGTTAGATACACTAATCATGGGAGGAGGGGAGGTTGCTATTTTTTTTCTGTCCCATATGGTAATAATTTTGTATGATTGAACTGTTATGAGCTGAATAAAAGTACACATTAACTGTAAGATACATTGCAAATACATTAAATCTTCCCTGGAGTTTTAGCAAATACGTGCTTTTTCTATCATGCATTTGGAATTATTATTACTGGGCCATAGGATTTATAAATAGATTTGGCTTCTTCTGCAATACTTTATGGGCAATTATTTCAGAAATGAAGATGCAGAGCCATGGGTAAATAAAATAATTGCAGCTGATCAGGCTTTATTTACAGCTATCACATTTCCCTGACTGCTACACTTCTCTCATTTGCTCCACTAGCCTGAATCAATGTCCAGATGAAGAGCTGTCAGTTAATGTCAAACACAGAGCACAAAGATGCCAAAGGCTGATTCTCATTTCCCCATTTCCAAATTCTGCCTGGGCTTTTCCGGAGCTGGCTTGCTCCCTGGATAAATTCAGTGTGGAATTGGGAGGCTGGGAAAGGGCAGAGACAGCCAGAGCAGTTCTGCAGTGTGTTCAGCAGTTTTCCAGGGAGCACATTTTGCTGTGGCTGCCCTGTAGAAGGCACTGCCAAAGGTCTGGAGAGCTCCCCTCCCATGAGCAGATGCCCAAATGTGTCAGGGAAGGGCTGGCATGTTTCTGCTATCTGCTGCAATCCCACTCAAGCAGGTATTAATTCAGTTTGGAAGGCACTGAGTACAGTTTTGTGTGGCAAAAACAGCTTTCCAGGCAATTCCAGCAAATCAAATCCAAGCAGAGCCTGGGACTGGCCTCATGTCTACAGAATACCCTCCATGTACCTCACAGCATGCAGCTTTCAATATTTGAGATCTCAGGATGGGAAAATCCAGAGTTTCCTGTCAATATTCCTTGGGATCAGGCTTGAAATCCTACACTCAGCCCTATCTAATAGTTGTGTTCATGAAGGAGGTTGCTTGTCTGAAGAGGCTTATCAAGTCATGAGGAAAAAAAGTGTAATTTCTGCTGCTTTGAAAAGCCTCAGAGCTGATAACACAGAAACAAGTGAAATGTAGGATGCACCAGGTGGAGACAACCTGAGTACCCACCAATGGCTTCCTTCAATGAGCTCATCTCAGATGTAGCCCCCAGAATTATATTTTATGGCTCTAAACTACTTAGAAAAAAAATGCCTGCCAGGCCTGATGAGCAGAAATGTCTCTGGGCTACCTACAGCCTCCTGTCCTGGGAAGGAACATCCAGCTTTGAGAGGCCTGGTTAAAAAGGGTGCCCTATAGAAAAGGGGAAGCACAAGAAACATCATGGAAGCTGTCAAGGACCTTAAGAAGATCCTACAAGCATAAGTCTCATAGATTTAAAGCCTGTTTTTTTCTTTTTATTTATTTCATTCTAGGCTGCTTATTTCTGTATAAAGAAATGATGCTGCAAACCTGTCCAAGAACTTCATCAACCACAGTCCATAAGGTGGAGAAAGAGGCCAGTGGGACCAGATGCCAAAGGAGCTAGGAAGATTTATGCTAGCTGAGCATCTGGCTCCCTGCTCCCTGTTATCAGAGTGAAGACAAATGCTTGCAAACACCCTTACTCCAAATCACTAATGTGCTCAGCCACACTCAGCACATTTGCAGCAGTGCTGCTCCTGGAAGGTGTGCTGCCTGGAAAAGCAGCTGCTGAATGCTTCTTCCAGGGGTTTATGCAGTGCAAAGAGCAGTGAGAAAAGAGGGTGTTTCTGCCCCTCAAATCAAGCCAAGGGAATTATTAAGATATCATAATTTTCTGGTATCGTTCTAGTAGGTGGTAGTAATTGCTTCTATACAGGAACGTGGCTACACCTCTGTTGTCATCCATCATCTTGCTGGGGCTGTGCATGGTGCAGTATTTTGATCTGACCTCATTAGCACTCCCAGAATCACAATGTCATACCAAAGACAAAGGCTGAGATTATCTGCATCTGAGGAGATGCAGAAGGAACATGTCACACACTATGTGAAAAGCCAAGAGTGCAACCATGACTCTGCCAAATACTCAAAGGCAGCCTGAATCCCCCTGGCTCTGGATTTTGCATGTGGAACAAGACATGATTAGGAATTGTGCCTGTATGCATCAAACCTGCAGATAAAGGGGATGGGCCCATGGCTTGGTGATCTAAACCCTCAGGGAGAGCACAGGGAGAGCAAGGGCAGGTGCTGGAGCAGATGCTCTCTGGTACCACCTTCCCTCTGAGCTGCCAGTATCATCTGTGCTTCCTCCAGCCTCTCCCAGGCAGCCAGCAATCCCCTAGAAACATGGAGAGATTTGTGTGCAGTTTGGGAAATGGCACAGAGGCATTTGGCCTTTGCAGAAATGCCTTGTGCTTCCTGGAAGTTCATAGGATTTTCTTGTGATTCCCAGGATAGAGGCACATAGGGAGGGTTCTGCTTGAACTTGGGTTAAAGGAAGGTCAGACCAATTTTTTGACCTTTCTGGCAGTAAAATAAAATCAAGTAAAATCTGTACCTGTCTAAAGTCAATCTACAGCAAAACCTGTTGTGGAACAGGGAATCTCAGTAGCTCCCTGCTGAGCTGTGTTCCCCACTACAGCTCTAACACAGTGACAACACATACTCCAAACCTCCCATTCTCAGCTACTCTAGTCTTCTATGGATCATCTTAGAGGAAATTAACTAAATTTCTCTACAGTGGGAACAAAAAAAGGAAATTAATTTATTATTCCAGTGGTACCCTTGGCACAGATACTGAATAGCTCCATTAAACATTTTGCAGCCCTGGGTGGCTTTTGCTAAACCCTCTACAATGAGCTCAGAGTCATTTTCCTTCTTACAACATAAACATACAGGTCAGGATTCAGGAGTCTCTTTTGTATCTGAATAACTTCTCTCATCTCAATGGGATCCAGGCAGGCACAAATCAAGGCTGCACAATCCTAGTCCTTCCCTTTCTCTCCAGAGTCATTTCCTTGCAGTACCACTCTTGGATAAACTCATTTTCACAGATTCAGCATAGACCCCATGAAATGACTAATACCACTCTGTAATGCAAACAATAATAAATCAACTGATTAAATTCTAATTTATCAGACAAATACTCTTTAGCTCTTCCCAAAGCTGTTCTGAATCATCTCTCTTGGCTGGCCATGTTCCAGAGGAGCACTGACACAAGATAAAGCTCAGACCTCTGGAATAAGTTTACACAAGATAGAAATGCTGAAAACATCCTGTATTTATGACAGGAGATTTCACAGAGATCACAGTAAATAACATTCCTGAGAAGACTGTAATGTCTCTGAAGCCTCCTCAGCATCTCTTCCAAAGACCAGTCTAGCAGGACAAGGGATCAGCAGACCCTGAAGATCCAGGCTCAGCATCAAGGCTCAGGAACCAGACACATTAACCTTGGGAGATCCTACAGCACAATTTAACAGCCGAGGAAATGGCTACTCCACCACAATTCCCCTTTAAATCACAGACTTTTCAAACTTACTTCATTGGTTTAAACAATGCTTGTCCATAGTTCTGGAATGTCATGATCAGCTTCAGCTGGGTGCCTCCTGATTTCATTGCTGTGGGGGAAGAACACAAAACAGCTTTAAAATGAAACATAGATCTACTGACAGTTTCCTTGAAACCAAATCATATCTGCTTTTCTCTGCATCAGCTCAGCACTGTGGTATCAGAGTGATCCCAACTGTGCAACAGATTATTCACAGATTACAGGGAAGGGCTTTGAGTGTTGGCCAGGTCTAAGCATGGATTGTATTTCCTGACCATTTTTGCCTTTTTCTGGCCACCATGGGCTCCATAGGCACCCCAGATGAACAGCACCCATAGAAGCAAACCATTGGAGTCTTGTTTTCCCCATCTCTTGCTTTTGGAGTCCCTTTTAACAAGGGGCTCACACTGGGAAAGGAGATGGGGTGCTTTCAGAGACAGCTGCAGCTGGGATGTACAGCCCAGTGCACAGCAGACAGCTCCTTAATTAAAAGTGTGAGCAGATACTGTAGCAATCTCTGATCTCTGCTGCGATTTTAATAACTGTTCCTGAGCAGCAGAGATATGGAAATTCACCTCCTCTGTGCACAATGGAAATTTAGCCAAGCCCAGCCACCACCTTCCAGGGATCCCAGGGTGGTTAATACATGAGAGCAGAGCTGTGCAGAGCAGCCTGGCTTGGCTGGGAGGGCACAAGAGCACAGTGAAGGTGACAAGGACAGTGACTTTGCTCATCTCCCAGCTGGGAGCTAATGGGAGTTTGATACTCATTCATATCATTCTGAAAAACTTGAACAATGTCACAGTAACAGCCAGATTATAGTGTTTTTAAAATCAGGATTAATATACATATATATAAAAAAGAATTTAAGAAAATGCATTTTACTTGATGGTAAGTCTGCTTTAAAAAGATAAACATATACTTCAGAAAACAGCTGCTTTTCTGCTGCCTCAATCACAAGCTTCATAATAAATGAATGACCTATAGCCTGACTCCTAAATGCACCTCTGTGCTGGGAAGGCCAGCAGGGCTGTGTGGATGAGTCAGTCTTTTAAAGATGTTTTCTAGGAATCATCAGATAATCAATCCCTTTCTTTGCAGTTCTGACAAAAGCCATGTCAATTGGAGAACTACAGAAATGTCAAGTTATCTTACTCTGTAAATTCTGGCTGAGACTTGCCCTTGTTCCACCTATACAGCTTGTACATGTTTTTTCTCTAACCAAAGCCATTAACTGCACATCTTTTTAATTACTCATCTCTGTGCCTTATCACTGATAGTTCATCAGCTCTCTTTCAACATTTGTAACCTATATTTTTGCAACAAAATGCTATGCAAATCTGGTCAGTGTAATTACACTTCTCCTAGAATAAAATCCCTCCTGTCCTGCTGTTTTGCTGATCCCAGCAGTCTCTTGCCTTTTCACTTTATCCCACAGGAACAAATAAATAATTAGAAATTAAAGGGCATTAGCAATTTGCACTGACCAGGTAAAGCAGAAGCAAAGGGCTTTCCTGGCTTAAACTCCCTCCCCTGTGCAGGACAGGTCTGCACCTGAGGGCAGGAGGAGGACAAAGCTTTTTCATGCCCAGCTCAGAGCTTGAGGACGATGAGAAGAGAAACTTTCCAGTGCAAACCCTGCCTGGGGTGCCCTGGGGCCATCTGTGCACTCTGGAAGCAGCCCTGGTTAGCGTGGCAGCTGGAGCTGCCCTTGGCCATGGCCACAGGGACACACACAGGGCACTCCCCACCACCCTCCCTGCTCAGCCACCACCACAGGCCTGGCATTTCAAAGAAACATGGAATCACAGAATGGTCTGGGTTGGAAGGGGCCTTAAAGATCCACTAATCTAAACCCCCTGCCACCACAGCAAAGCAAAGAAGGAAAAAAGGAAGTTTCAGCACCCTTCTCTAGGCACAGAGCTTCAGACACTAAAAGGACTGGTTTCTCAGCTAATTAAAGCCACTCAACAGATAATGATTTTGTTAGCAGGCAAACTCAACAGCAAGGATGTCATCACCAAGCAGGCAAATGCATGAAGAAGATTAACAATTCAGAATAATTCTTCCATGAGACACAAAAGCCTGCCTTCCTGTCAGAAGGAACTGAGCTGAAGTAAGACAAAAGCATCTCCCTCATCTTTTTAGATCCATCTTATTGTATTGCCTTAATTGGTTGCACCAGTAGCCTCATCCCAACACAAGTTTTGCTGGCTCCTCCATTGCCGCTGGGAGCAAGCTTTGGAACTCTGAAACCAGAGGGGGACACTGCTGGGGATTGTGTCCCATTGTGCTTTAGGGCAGGGCAGGGTGGAAAACCCTGCAGGCTGGAAAACCCGTGGAGCATGGAAAACGCCTCGGTGCCAGAGCTCCACCTTGGCTTCCCCCATTCCTCAGACTCACTGCAGCTCTTCCAGTGCCACAGCTGTGCTGGCCAGGCTGGGGGTGAGGCAAGGCCACCCTCCACATCCAGGCTGGTGTTGACATTGTAATCCCTGCAGAGAGGGGAACACCTAAGCTTGGACTGTTCCTTTGAGCTCAACAAGACCCTTGCTGTACCTGCAAACTGAGCAGCTTTGGAACAGCCAGGGTGCCCAAATTTGGGGGGTGACAATGCCAGAGAAGAGCAGATCTCACTGGAGATGATCCACTCTAGGTCAAATCACTTCCTCTGTCCTAACTCAGCATCACATCTGCACACTGGCTCCCCTCTCCTTTTCTGAGCTGTGCTTCTCCCTTTCCTGCCCAGCCTCAGTGAAACATGTCACTCTGGCCACTGTGGCCTGTCATCTCCCAGGGGTTTGTCCCAAAAAAACATAATTTGCTCATCTGGAGACATCCTCGTGCCTTTATCTTCTGCCCATTCCTGAAGAATGTACAACACCCAGGAGCAGCACATCCCATTTTCCAAGGAGTGCAGGATGCTGCACCACTGCAATCTATCACATCTGTGATCAGCAGGTCCAGGGATTTTTACAAAATCCTTGCAACACAAGGGTCTGCTGATTCCAAAGGAACCACTAGTCACACTCTAAATTCACCTTTTATTTTCTTTTTAATATTTTAATATACTGTAACACCATAGGTCACAAACAGCTCTGTACAGGCTTTATAAACCTGCTAGCTCACAGCAGGTACTTCAAATCAAGTCTCACACAGCTCCTGGATGTACTGGCACACTGCTAAAGACAAATCCCAATCCCATCATTACTTTTCATCTTCAGGCAATTCAAAGCCTCTCTTTTCCCTCCAAAGTAGAAGGAAATGGAAAGCAGCATTAACCTTTCCTGTTAACCCAGTGTAAGGGCTCTAGGGTGTGATCAGAAATCTTCCTAACTTCAGGAGGCTTTGCAAAAAATTCCCTGAGATATCTTTTTGCTTGAATGTTTGGGATTAGAGTCTTGTCCAAAGATTAGTGAAATTGGTGGGATGCCTTCTGTTTTCTCTGACAGACTTTGGATCAAGCCTGCAAAAATCCCCACTCCATTTACATCCCTGAGCCTGCTGCCATGGCCACCTGCCATGCCTGACTTCCCACCTTGTCACCTCACCAGCACAAGTCCTGGATTCCCTCCCTGAGCCACAGACCCCATCCAAAAGGTGTCCCAGCTATCATCTCCCAGGCATCTTTTCAGTCTGTATGCAACACTCCCTGGCACTGACAATGCTGCCCAGAGGGATTTGTCCCAAAGGGATTTATCCCAAAGGGATTTGGAATTCCAACTGCTCTGGCTTTCCAGCTCTTCTGTTTTGCCCCATGACAGCGCTGATGCTACCAGCCTGGCTACACCATATGGTTTTCTGGTGGAGGGAGAGAGTCCCAACAGGATCGCTGAACTTTTCCTGATTCTTTTGGTCAGCATCCAACACATATTTTAAAATGTATTTAATTATGCAGAGCTAATGCTTGAGAAGTGAGATACAGTCACAGCCTGGGATGCAGTTAACATCTGAAACAGAGGATGCTCAGATCCATTTTGAATTCCTATTTATAGATCAAGCTTAAATCTAACATAAACATGTTGATTTGCTTTAACAAGTAATGCTCTGCCCCAGGCTGGAGATATGGCCTGTACAAGCTGTAAAGAACATATTTTAAAAATAAATTCAAGCCCTCATCATCTCTTAGTTTGTGCTTGTTCAGCCAATTCTGCTAACTTGTTTTTAAAGGACTTTTTGGACTTTTAGTCAAGAAAGTGAAAGATTTCAGCAGGGGAAGAGATCTGTGAAATGATTCTAAGGCTTTGCTATACATTTTAAGTCCCTTCCTTTCATCTGGAATTGTACATTAAATCAATCTGTTGAATCTTGGCTGATTCATTGTTTCCTTACACAGTAAATCAAAGATGCTACATTTCATTGTTTTTCACAAGTTCTCAAAAGCACTTCTTCCTTTCCTTTGGATGAAGTGTTCACGATTTTCTTTAGAGCCAGAATTTATGTTCAATATTTAGAGTCTTGTCATTCCCTTTTCTCTTTTCTTTCCCTGCCTTGAAGCACAGTCCACCTCAGGTAATTGCAGCTCTTATTCCCAGTGTGAGTAATCTCAAACACTTGCTTTCTAATTACTGCCTGCACAAACTGAAGGCATCACAGATTCACAAATTACCTCAGTCAGGTAGTCAGTTCTCTTTATAACCAGAGATCTTAAGGAATCAAAAAATAAGTCCCAGCTCCTCAGAGGAATTACAAAATCTATTCTGCTTACAGGGAATCTCCTCTGGACAGCAAGCCCACAGTGCCCCTCCAATGCACCAAGCCAGAGCTGGTGCTAAACTGCTGATAGTGCTGCCACAATTATGCACAGACATCTTGTAAATATGCAAGAAAATAGCTAACTATGGTTATTTATGCATGCAATAAGCAGCTATGAAAGGCAAAGGAAATGTGCAATTGCCTGTGCATGTGCTTCTGAAAGCCAGGCTTCAGTGCTCAGTGGAAAAACAATTCTCTCTAGGCTCCTATTTATGGCAAGAGGAAATTTTCAGCGAATTAAATCGAATTAAGAGCTATCCCTTTATGCTGAACAAAATGAATAGGAAATGTGTGTATATATAGATGCAGGGCACAGAAACATCCCCAGCCCAGGCCTGGGTAACCCTGTCCTTTCCCAGGCCAGCTCTAGGTGTCACTGTGGGAGCTGGATGGGATGCTCCTTCCCACCCATGGATTTGTTCCATTTAAACTTTAACATCAAGAAAATGTCACCTTGGTGCTCCCTGCTCTTGGGAATTGCTTCTGTCACCGTTTTCACTTTAAAATACCACTGCACATGGCAGAGTCGTGTGAGTGGTCCCAGCAGATGTGGGGGATCAGTCTGCTCCCCACTCTCACCCATAAATAATGCAGGGTGAGCAGAGAAATCTCAGCGTGGCCAGGAATGCTGCTTTGCTGCAGTTTGGATCTAATTACTGTAGGTATCAGGCAAATCATCTAATTCTATTAGAGCCAAAGTAAATCTGAACACTGGGAAGAAACTGGATGAAGCCATATCCCATTTCACTTAATGCTTGTAACCCTGTATATTTAATTGTTCTGCTTGCTAAAAGGAGTCTGAAGACCAGGCATTATCAAGGTTTCAATTTATTTTATACTCCTAACTTGACATCTTCCAGATGCCTTAAAAAAACCCCAACCCAGCAAAAATTGACCATAAGGAAAAAAAAAGGCTAATTAGAAGATAAGCAGGAATATGCAAAGAATGTAACAGCCCTATAAATGTCCTTTGGTCAAATATATTACTCTTTATTAATCAGCTTACATGCTTTTGAATCCCTCTGCTACTCCGCAGTAAAGCCGAAAACTGGCAGGAATTACTTTAAAACATGTATTTTTAAACATCCAAAGAATGTGCAACATAAAATAAGAGAAGTTGCATTGTGCAAAAAATAATTTACAAAAGTGTATTAGCAATATACTCTTTCTTTCTTTCTTTGCAAGTTCTTGGATCCCCACAGGGTCACAGTATGCTAACACCAAAATTCAGATCCCAGCATCTCCACATTGGCAAAAGTCCCCTTCCATTTCCATGTACTTGATTTTAGACTGGGATTTATGGGTAGGAATCATTCCCTGTCAGTTCCCATAGCGGCCAACAACAATACCAAATATACCTCATGGTTTAATTTATGGAAATTATCCTGATTCATTGCTAGAAACCATGGCTCTGTGTTTTTGTTAGAGGCATAAGAGGCCCTACCATGCTCTTAAGAGCCTTGTCCAAACATTAACAGAGACAATCCCAAAGGGACTTGCTAATAGCAACCATAAATCTTCCTCTGTGCTCCCATGGCCCTTTCCCCCCATTGATCAGAAAGCTCCATCAAAATCAGAATTAATGGGAACCCCATGATACATCTGTATGACACATTAGGTGAAATCATGGCCCCAGGGAAGTAAGTGGCAAAAACTTCCACTGACGTCACCAGGGTCAGGATCTCACTCCTATTTTTTGTGATAATTACTCTTTGCTGCTAGGCCAGCTGAAGCAGAGAGAGGTGAAGCTGCATGCCCAGAAGCACAAGTGAACACCAAGCCCAGAAGATCAAGTGAAGAGTGAGCACTGAACTACTATTTCTTGCTTGTACCTCCCTTTTTCTCCCACCATCTTCTATGTCCCTAATCCACCTCAGCCATCCCCTGCACTGCAGGAGGGACAGACTTCATGGCTCGAGCACTGCTGAGTTTGCTGCAGATGCTCTCCTCTTGCACAGACAGCGTAGCTGAGCTCTGGACTGCTGGGGAGGTGAGCAAAGATCAATACTCAGCAGCCATGTGGTACAAACTGCTGCAGCCACTGCACTTTGAGCAAACCTCAAGAGATGGCTCAGTTGGGCATCACCTCTGCCCCTCTGGGCACTGCCTGGGCACTGCTGCTCTCTGAGGGGACAGGGATGGGCACAGACTGCATCTGTCCCTGCCCAGTGGATGTGCCCAAGGAGCAATGTTCACACAGTGTTACCAAGTGCTGGCTCAATCCCCATTTGCACGTGCCACTAATATTCCAAAAATTGGTGGGTATTGAGGGGCGAGGTCAGGAAAGGTGAGGGCTGTGTCTGGGGGAAAATCACCCAGGCTGTGTCCATTCAGTGCCCTCGTCACCCTCCAGTGCAGGCCAGAGGAGCATGGGCAGTCTGCTGCTACCTGCAGTGTCACCTCTGGGGAAGGGAAAACACATGGCTTAATGGGCAAACATGACCCCCTTAGTGAATCACCCCAATGCAGACTTTTGGGGACAGAAAACCCACCACAGGTTAATAAACAAGCCCATGTTTGTTCTCTTTCCTGAGCTACAAGTCCACTGGACACTTGAATCCAACATGTGGGATGGCACCTGGGTACCACAAACTGCTTTATTCAAAGTGCTGCTCCAGCAGAGCAGTGCACTGAGCACAGCCAACACACAGAGCAGGATTCACTGTGATGAAGGTCTCCTGTGGCATCCTGCATTTTACACCTACTCCATCCCAACCAGCTAAATCAGCCACTCCTGATGACCAAGGAGCTCCTTTATTCCTGCTCAGCAGCCACTGTGATTCACACAATGGAAAATGTAAACCTTAGGGCTGCTTGAGCTATTCTTGCCCAGACCATTTCCTGCTGAAGCCAGGGGAATTTTTGCCTTGCAGGGTTAAAGACCTGCTGACCTCATCCCACGGTGCCAACACACCATCAGCACTTTCACAGAGCTCCTGCTATTTCATCCCTCTGAAAGGGACTTTGCAACTTTGTGGTCAGCACAAGTAACTCCATTTTCTGCCTGGTGGATGGAAACCACTGCCTGTGCTGCAACTCCCTACCTCTGGAAACCACGGGATGTGCACTTGTTTAGTATCCCAGGGCTTTCATCTGAGGTTGTGACATTTCTTTCCCTGTGCAGCTACGCAGCTAAATTCAAGAAGACACACGTTGCCATTAAACAACCCTGGAGAAAAGCCCCGAACGGTGTCACCTTGTTTAACCAGAGCCAAAGGCTGACATGGGCACATCCCTGTTGAGGATTTACAGGCAGAGCAAACAGAGCTGAGCCCTGCTCAGCAGGAGGCTGGCTTGCCTGGAGCTCCCTGCCATGCCTGGGGAAGCTGCAGCTCCCGCAGCCGCAGAGCCCGCGGTGCCGGATGCTCCCGCAGCCACCGCAGCAGGGCTGCAGGGCAGCCTCTCCTCCCCTGGCAAGGCAGGGCTGCCAGGCACAGCCTTTAAATAATAATCAGCCAGTAATACAAATCTAGCTCGTGCAAGATGCTGTCTGCTTTCTGCCATCCTTTTTTTTTTCTTCTTTTTTTTTTTTGTCAGCGTATTTATTTTAAATAACTGAAGAGGGCACTTTCAGCCTGATTGTGACTAAAGGATCTCTGACATGAATGGGGCTTGCCTTGCTGGCAGATTTGTCAATTATTTAGATATAGCAGAGCTGGAAATATCTCTTTATGTTTAGCAGGGAAAATGAGCAGGGAAGTCAGAAAGCAAAGTTGCAGGGATGCTGGAGAGAAGCCATGCAAAATATTAATACTCAAACAGCAGTAAGATCCTGAACAAAGAGCAAATAATGATAAAAAAATAGCATATATCCAAACATACCAACACTGGTTATCTTTTGGGAGACAAGGTCTTGTAGTAAAGCCTCAATTGCAGGATTGTGTCTGGAATACAGCTCGTACCGATTAATGCCAATGTGGAATTTTAACCAGTTTGGGTAGGAGTCTATGGAGGTTTCTCCAGTTGGCAAAAATTCTTCATGATGATCTTCATTTTGCCTACCACCAAAAAAAAAAAAAAAGAACAACAAAAACCCAAAGTTGAAGAGAAAGAAATAATGTTACAGTTTGTAGCACTCATCAAAAAACAAGGCTTCAAAATGTGACAACTTGGAAAGGCAAAGCGCTGCAGAAAGGAGAGAGGTCCCAGGTTCCTCCCTGCACCAGGAGCCTTCTCCCACCTGGGGCCAGTGTGGAGATGGATTCTCACTTCCCCTCATCCTGCCTGACTTATCACCCACAAAAGTCAGGAGCAAAACTCAGAGAGGCATCACTGAGCATTAGTAGAGGCCCTTCCATAGCAGAAACACAGAGCTCAAGTTTTACCTTGTGTTTAGGTCGCTTTATGTTGCACACAGCTTTTACAGGTCTGGCTCGAACAACAGCATCATCCTGAACCTTTATTTAACAGGGACATGGGGCAGGAAACCCATGCAGAAAAGAGTGCAGCAGAACCTGAACTGTGGTGCCCAATGCACCCCTCCCTGCTCCTTCTTAAAGAGGGAGAATGACAGAAACTGCATCACTCTGAACTGGCTGCTAAAGAAGAACTGGCTGGTCTGGCCCCTTCCTGAGCAATAGGAACCTACTACAGCAAAGAATTAATTAAAATGATCACTACCTTCTGAAATTCACTTTAGTTCTGTGAATCTTGGCTGCAGCAACTAAGGAAAATACGTACAAAAGGCAGCTGCATTGTGGATATCAGTGTTGATTTCACTCCTCGCCTACTGAACAGACTAACCCATATTTTCAATCCAGAGTTCTCTGTGTTTACAGTCATCTCCAGATGTTCAGGCATTTGTGACTTTTTTCCCCTTTCTTTTTCTTTCAGAGAACACAAAACTTTCCAGGTTATTTCCCTTCACAGTCAGTTAGGATTATTAGATGGAATGGGCCTGGACAATTCACATGCTCATAGGGCGGAAATCAGAATTATTTATCCTCTCTTTCTAAAGGTTTAGATCATGCTGGCTGCTCTGCAGCTTGACAGAGCTTTTGCACGGTACAATGCAGCTGTTTAAACATTACAATGTCAGTGTGTTTGGAAGAGGGTGCTGTTGTATTAGACAACCCTTTTGATTTTTCAGTCATTGAATATCTCAGCATTTCTTAGGAGCCAACAGGGCATACGATTCACAGAGGCAACTGCCTGCTTTGAAGGCTGGAGAGCAGCGGAGGTGCAGGGCACTGGGAATTAATTGAGGATGAAAAATGTAGCACAGATCAGATCCTGAAAGCGGAAATACCTGCCAGGATGAATGCCTTTGTGGCACTAGAGCCTGCTTTTGAGAAAAGTTAATGTATTACTGTCTGGCCTCACTGCTCTGCCCCTTCACCTCTGGGTGGGAGACTGGGAAGGTGCTGGAGAGGAAGGCTCGCTGTGAGCTCACCCTCTTCTTCACACTGTTCTTCTGGCAGCATCCTCCTCGGCTGCAGCTGGAGATGGGGCAGACCGACCCCTTGGCCTCAGCGCTCCAGCCTTGCTGTGCTCCCGTGTTTATTCTGTATTTCAGGGCATTTATTTTCCAAAGGAACACTACCGGGCGAGCCTGTACTGGGCTGCTCTTTTTCCCGGTGACCCCGAAACGCTCCGTTCACCCCTCTGCCCACTTCCACCCTAAACCCCGCGTTCCCCACCGAAAGGCAGCGACCCTGCGGACACACCACGTCCCCCCCCGGTCCCACTCACCACTCGGGCTGCTCGGCCGCCCGCGGGTTGAACCTGATGTCGCTGTTGACATTGAAGAGGAGGTCTCCGTCGGCCAGCGGGGGCAGGGCGTTGCGGTAGAGCGGGTGCTCGAAGAGCGCGGCCAGCGGGGCGGCGGCGCGGCGGCGGGCGGCGGGCAGGAGCAGCCCGGGCGGCCCTCGGGGCCCCGGCGCTCCAGGCGCGGCAGCAGGTCGATCATGATGTGCATGGTGCAGGCGACGAGGAACACCATCAGGATCAGCACCCGGAACTTGCGGACCAGGAGCATTTTCATGGCCGGGGCGGCGGATGAATTACCGGGGCAGGGGGAGGGAGGGGAGGCGGCGGACAGAGCCCGGGCGGGCGCGGGGCTGCCGGGCCCCCCCCGGGGCTCCGGCGTGCTCCTCTCGGGTCGGGAAGCGAGCGATCAAGTCAATAAAGTTACCTCCATAGGCGCCGGGAAATAAACAGGCTAAACCCGATAGGTCCTCATGTCTCAGTATCATCAAGAACTTGGGAGGGGGAGGAAAAAAAAAATAAAAGGGAAAAAAAAAAAAAAGAAAAAAAAGAAAAAGGAGCTCCGGACCGAGCTTTTAAAATCAACAGGAAAACAATGCCAGCGGCATGGTAATATAGAAAGCCATCTGTTCACGATTTCTCCCTCTTTTTATTACAGGGATCACAACAAACAGGGAAAACTGGCTCTTGGAGAGAAACCGGCATCAGATACAGGCGCTGATTAAATAAAATTAAAAAAAAAAAAACGGGGAGGAGGAGGGGGAAAATAAAAATATTAAGAAAACCTGTGCAGAAAGACGACAGAAGAAAAAAAATCATCCATAATATTTGGCTGTGCTGGAAACGCTGACTCCTTTCCCTTGGATTTGAGCAGTGATGCAGCAGAAGCGCTCCCCGCTCGCTCTCGCTTCCTCTCTTCTCTCAGACTCTTTAAGAACATTGGCTGGAAAATCATTTTCTTAGAGCGGTTCCCGTTTCTTCATCCATCGCATCCAGTGCTTGGGAGAGATTAGTAAGTTCAACTGAGATCGAGTCTGGGTGGTTGCTGTATCCGAGCTGGGCTTGTGCTTTGGCTTGGGTTGGTTTTTTTTGGCTGCAAAACTGTCTGATGGCACAACTGCAACATAAAGGTTAAATATGGCACAGAAAAAAAAAAAAAAAGGGAGAGAAGGAAGGATTAGAGGAAAGAAACTAATATAAATCAGTAGAGGTTCTTTTTAGCGAAGAGGTCTTTGATCTCTGCTGGGTCTTACAGATCTTTCTTTTAAAGAGAGAGAGAATGGAAGAGAGAAGGGGGGAGAGAAGGAAAAGGGGGGAGAGATCTTTGGCAGGTGCAGAGTGAAAACCTCTTTCAGCTACACTGAATTCTGGAGACTGGTTGGACTAGTAGCTCTGCAGCTCCAGCTTTCAGTGGGTGTGTTAAATATTATGAGCGAGCCATGATTCCTGCCTTCCTCACGTCATAGTTAGGAGATTGGCTAAATAAACGCTACAGTGATAGTAACAGGAAAACCTCAACCAAAAGAGGTTTTTTTTTCTCCCTCCTCTCCTCCCTCCTTCCCACCCCCCCTTTTCATTCTACTGCAGCTCCAACTGGGGCAAGGAGAGGGCGTCTGTTCCACAAAGGTTTGGGGAAAGAAAAAAAATAAAATATAAAGGGGAAAGACAGAGAAGCGACTGAGGAGAGAGGAATCTGCGGGAACAGCAGGACGGTGTGTCCGGGCTGGGAGCGCTTCTGCTCCGTCACCGCCCGGGCTGGCAAGTGGCGCATTGCCCCCCGCCCGGCAAGGTCAGCCCGGGCAGCCGCGGCTCCGCTCCCCCCGGAGCACCTTCCTGGCTAACCCGGCATCCCTCGGGCTGTGCACACCCGGCAGCGTGCTGCCCTCCCTCCTGCTGGTCCCGTGTCTGGTGGCTAGTGGGCTGATGGAAGTGGTGGCCATGGGGCCAGCACAGCCCGCAGAGTGCTGCTGGCAGTCGTCCGAGAGTCAGGGCACTCTGGAGGAAGGAACGAGCTGTTCCTGCTTCTTCAGGTGAGCAGGCAGGATGCGGAGAACTGGCAGAATCAGGCAGGAACTCAGATGTCTGTCTTTGGCCAGCGTTGCCCTGGATTCTGTGGTCCATAGCAGGGCTCCAACAGCTGTTGAGTTGGGCTGTAGGAGGACTGAGAAAGATGAAGTGCTTACCCCGACCCACCACCACCTTTCCACAGAACCATCTCAGTGCTGAATGTGGCAGTCCATTTTTCCCTGCATTAAACCACATCAAAGTATTTATTTTCCTCAGAAAGTCTTTCCTCACCCACCAGGCTCCATCCAGCACTGTTGGCTGGCACTTCTGCAGAGCCCCGTGCTTTGCACTCCTCTGAAGCACATCCATGCCGTGTTAAGAGTGTCACCACCATGTTTTGCAAAAGGGATATCACTGACTTTCCAGCAGGAAAAAACAGATTGATGAACCAAAAAAAAACCAAAAAAGACCAGCCTAACAGGACCATGACCCAATGGACTGCTCTGTACCTTTGTGCAGAGACAAAACTTGCTGTCCTAGAGAGACCTTGAGGTCCCAGAGTTCAGAGGTACAACTGGATCCTTCAAGAACAGGTGTAGTTAGTCGCAGAAAAACATTTTGCTACAGAGCCAGAAGCAAGGCTTTCTGTCTTTTCCTACTTTTTCCACCAAGATCAGCTTGGACAAAGGCTGTCTGGACAATTGACTACATGGCTGATGGAAGAGGGCAGCAGAAGACAGTGAGGGGTGTGTTCAGGGTACCTGGTTCTCTGTGTATCACCTAAGTTCCACTCTACTGTGGTTTTTTAAGAAGTGCTGGGGGAGCTGTTTGTAGCACTTCAAGTGAGGATAGATAAAATAACACATTATCTCCTTTAGCAAGACACAGCAGAATTTTTGGGTTGCAAATTTTAGCTGCATTTTCTTAGTGTTTGCCCTACTGAAACTAAGGCCTATGGTGTTAGATTGAGGGTGGAACTGAACAGGTCTGAGGAGAAAATTGCAAATTACTTAAATGAGTTATTTAAGTTAAAGTTGTTTGAATTTACTTTACAGTAAAAGAACATTGTGTCAAACATGTTGTAACTCCATGTGTAAGAGCTATATAATGAAAGAGAGACTGGCTTTGAAATATAATGCAAGCAACTAGTTGTAGTTAATTACATGACTTTCAAGAGGTGAAAATGACAATACCGTGAAAATGTAACTAATTCCTCTAAGCAACATGTTTTTGTTTTCATCAGTGTGACCTTTAGTGCATATTGGCTATTTAGTTAAGTATGGTTTCATCTAAATTGTGTCTGCCTGTAAACTGAATCTCCCTGTCTTCCACAAGCTCTTTATTCCTTGAGCCTTTTCAACACTTGAGTTTTATCTCAGGATGTGAGATTGATAGATGTCACTGTATTCTCTTCTGTAACTGACCTTTGTGGACAAGTTGTGCCTGGACCAAAGTGTCCCAGAGATGTGAATAAAAGAGTAAAAGAGTTGTCTTATGTCTCTGCATTTGTTTCTCAACTTCAATATCTAGGACCAAAGTGTCCCAGAGATGTGAATAAAAAAGAGTTGTCTTATGTCTTTGCATTTGTTTCTCAACTTCAATATCTGGAAATGCCTTCATCCACTGATTGGTCATCTGTGAAATGAGATGCAGTGGCCAGTTGGTGAACTCTGGCAGAGAGGTGAGCTGTAGCTTTGCTTTGGTCGATGGGAAATGCATAGTTCCTTGTTTCCTGAGCCTTTCTTCCCCTGTGCTGGAGGCTGGTGATGGTCAGCACCAGCAGTGTGTTACAGCCCCTCTGCGCCTCTCAGCTGTGCTGATTGGTGAAGCCCAGGGAATGAAGCCAGAGCTCAGGTAGCTCTTCCCAAACCCCTGTGGGCTCTTCCTGTAGCCCATCACACAAGGAGGATGCCAGCCCTGTTTTCTTATGGACCTTCCCATGAGCAGGTGCAAGAGCACAGCCCTGCTCCTGTCCTGGAGTCACTGTGCCCTCTCACCTCTGTAAATCTTCTGTTTGGGAACACAAAATTAGTGCCAATCTCACATTTGCATTCTGTGGGGCTGGCAGAGAGCCTGTTGTTCTGGCCAGGGGGATGGGAATGGAAGGACCTGCTGGGTCAGGAGGGCTGAGGTGGCTGTGGTCAGGAAACCACGGATTGTTGGTGTGTGAAACCACTGGGAGAAGTCAGGAGTGGGCTGCAGGTCCGGATAGCCTGGAAATTGGGCGGCAGGCAGACTCAGGAACCAGGTCTAAGGTATTCCAAGGCTGGTGCAGCTTCCCAGGACGTTGCTGGCCCTGGGAAAGTGTGAGCTTGTTGCAGGAGAGTTTGTGCTTGTTTTGGGATCTGGGGGTTCAGTGATCCACCCCTGCTAGGGAAGGGTTCCCTTTTTCTGTTGCAAGGGAAGAAATGGGGATTTGTGTCCAACCAGCTGGATTTCAGCCCTACATCCCATGTACTGTGAAGCCCTGGCCCCTTCCCTTCCAGTGCAAGTGCAATGTTTTCATGAAAGTTACCTCCTCTGGCTTCAAATATTTGCCTTCAAGACTTGATAAAATTTTTGGTAACTGCTGATTCTTGTTCAAACAGGCTTTTAAGTACCAAACTTGTGTGCATAGGGTCTTGGTAATCATGCCTGATTTGGGCAGCTGTTAGTTAGTAGAAGATAGTTCTTTATCATTTAATTTTCCAAGTTAACTTGGTCTTAGTAAGGAATATTTAAATATTTCTCCTTCACTAAACTCTACACCTTCATATGGAATTCCAGTATGTGGCAAAGAGCTTTCTATTTCTGCTGTGCTGTGTGTTGGACCAGCATTACCCCTGTAATTGCTGGCATTATGTAAACATGAAAATAATAAGTTCCTAATGGAATATTATGACATCAATAAGTCATTGCATACAGCTCATTTCAATAATATAAATGAAATCAAGTCATTCACATCAACTCTTTATTTTATTTTTGGTCATTGAATTAAAATCTTTCCTCTCTTATTGAAGTACTTGAATGTTATTGGGAATTTCACATTGAATTGCTACAATCACAAGCCAGGATTGCTTTGGAGCTAACAGGCTTTTTAATTTGGTATTACAAATAGGCATTCAGCACTTCTTTGCTTGTTCTACCTTTGCTTTTATTTAATAATACAATCAAGAATTCAGGAGGGGTTACTGTTCTATGTCCTCGCATTTCTTCATTGTTTTGTGCATGAATTAATACCTTATCTGCTGCTGAAATCTGGGTAGATGTTTATTTTGCCCATTTTTGTCTGCCTGCCTGGCTGAGCAGTGACAATGGTCAGTGTACGTGATAGTGTATTCAGGTAAATAAATGAAGCATGGTTTTGGGTGAGTAAACATACCCAGCTATTATTTTCTGCTATAACGGTTTACAGCCTTCTGATGTAAAGCCTGAATGCAGCAGGGCAAGCTGTAAGTCAGGCCTGATTGCACATTTTGAATCAGTGTAATATTTTTATTGTTACTTCTAATGGCAAAATGGATTTTCCTTCCTGAGAGCCTCTGTCTGTGATGCTGGAAGTCCTGAGGGCACCACATGCCTTGCCTGGCCCCTGTGGCTTTGCTGCCCAGGGTGCTCTTCCTGCTCTCCCTCTCCTTCCTCCCTCTGAAGATTCATGTGCTGACCTAATTTATTGATGCTTTGCCTTATAAACACAGATTACACTGGCACTCTGATGGGTACTGCATATTAACCTCCCACACTGCCAAAATCACTTTTATTGCTGAGGAATCCACTTGGTACTGAACAGGAGGTGATTCCATAAGCTTGATTTCACTGTCAGCTTTTCCTGTGTATGAAGAATCAGCAACACATATTTCAAGTGATGTGCTGATATTTTTTTAATAATGCATACTAATGTTCTTTTGGCTGCCTTCTGGCCCAGGGTTTTTTAGGTATTTGGTATTTTTTTTTAAATGAATGTTGACCAAATCTCCGCTCCCAAATCATAGAGGCCGTGTGGTCACTTGCTCCTTCCCATGGTGGCTTTGCTAAGGTTGCCTGAAGGGACACTGAGCTGCAAGCTGGAGCTCAATAGAGCTGAAAGGAGGGACTGGTCCTGACAGGTCGTCAGGGCAAAGGGGGGCTCTGTGTGGAAATGCATCACCAGCCTCACCTGATTTCAGAGAGCCAAAGCTTCCAGCTCCAGCCTTTTGCTTTTGAGTGTTCCCATTCTGTAATTTGGAATACAATATTCTGGATGATCTAAACCCCCAGGGATTTCTTGATCAACCTGCTGAAAGCACTGAGCTGCTTATTATATCGAGGCAGTGGAACAGGAGGTTTTTTTCCCTGCCTGTTTGTTACTCCTCAGCTGTTGCTGCTGCAGATCAAGGGCTGGCTCCTCAGCTGGTATCAACTGGCCCTGGTTTCAATGAAATGCCATCTAATTATATCAGCTGAGGATCTGGGCCACAATGCTTAATTCTTCCACTGTTTGGAACAAAGAGCGTCCTGGCCATGCAAGAACAAAATTCTTGTTGTTGCTGGAGTGATGGGGTTGGGCCTGTGGAGGGATCACATTTGCTGCAGGCATTCAAGTGGAGTAGTGATCCTGCATATAGCTACATTACAGAAGGGCTGAGAAATTACCTTCCTAAGTGGTAGGATGTTATAAAGAAAATTAGTTGTTAGGAGGTTGTGTTCTTATCTAAAAATTATCCCTGAGACCAAGTCAAAACAAATTATCTTGATGTGCATGACATAAGAGCATGCACTGCTTGAGTTATCATAATTTCATTTTCTTATAGTAATTAATTCCTCTAAAATAATTGTGATCAAATAGCCTCTGTTCCTTGTGGACTTTCTGAGTTAGTACATTGATCTTTGTAAAGCATAGGAAACATGGCTTGCTAAATTACACGTAAAATAATTTTGCAGTTTCACTGAAATTGAGGAAGCTATCTGATTTATGCCAGAAAAAAAATGCATCCTGATGCTAAAACAAGCTACACATGCACACAGAAAACTTCTGCCTACTGCAGTGTGCAGTCACACATGGACCCATTTGAGTGTATGCAGAACTATGAACAGCTTAATTGTATATTGAAGAATCTCTTCTGGGAATTCTTTTTTTTTTTTTTTTTTTTACTCTAATTTTGTTTTGTATGGATGTTTTGACACCTCAACTTGAGCTTTTTTCCTCTTGGATGGCTAATTTTTTTTTTTTTTTTTTTTAGTCTAATTTTGTTTTGTAGGGATGTTTTGACACCTCAACTTGAGTTTTTTCCTCTTGGATGGCTAATTTTTCAATCAGATCATAAAAAAAAAAATACACCTGAGAAACTGAGAGCAAACCACAAGACATTTTAAGCATGTGACAGCCTGAAATAGAAATTAAAATACTAATAGAAACCCTCGTGGGAAAATCTTACAACTAGGTAGTGTATCCTAACAGGCTGTGAATTACTGTGCCCCTGGGAGACACCAGGATTCTCCCCAACTTGGATGCTCCTTGCCAATGTGATTCTGAGAAGTTGCTTCAGTTCTGTCTCCTTCTCTGATGGGAAGGATACCCTAGAGCATTTTGAGATCTATTAATAAAAGCCACCACAGGAGGGAAATGGTGGTGTTTTAGGTCTTGCTTCTTTGGGGAATAATTCATACTCCTGACTTTAACCCCATGAGAAATTCGGAATCCTAAAAATATCCTTTATAGGGAGGTCTGAAACCCTGGGACTTGGGGTGAGTCCTTGGGTCATGAAACCCCTTAAACTTGGCAGTGTCCTTATTTCTTGGCTTGGTGGGAGCTTCCTTTCTGATGAATCTCTCCTTGCCCCCTTCTGCCAGGGCACTGCTGTAACCCTGCTGAGGCAGCTGCTCCAGTGCCAGGTGTGCAGCTCCTGCTGCACAGCCCTGAGCTCAGAATTAACCCATTCTAGCCCGAATTAGGGTGGGGCCAGGGCTGGCTCAGCCTTGATGGAGATGTGGGGAGTCTGTTGTTATCTTGCCAAGGGAGGTGGCTGTGTCTTGGGGTCTCTCTCCCTCCCTTCCCATCAGCAGGATGGGTTTTCCTGGAACTGTTTCACTGTCAGTGATTTCTGCTCTTCTAGTGTTAACCTGTTTTTGTTTCCCTAAGGGCTTTTTTTTAATTCTGTCTCACTTTCTGGGTTGTTCTTTTTGATATGTTGCAATAGTAAATTTTAGCAATTAGATCTGGCTATTTTTCATTTGCTGTTCAAGTTTGGAGGTGTGTAGCCCTTGTGGTAAAGCAGCTATGCTGTTATGGGGTAGGGATGATCCATGAGTTTGGGAATATGTCAGGGTGCTGGGGGTAAGTTTGTTTTCTGTATCCATTTCTTCCTGTCAGGCCTTGGGTTTCTCCAAGGCATGGGTCCAAAACCAGAGACAATTGAGACAATTTAGGTGCCTGAGCTGGAGGCATAATTGCCATAGACTCCCTTGTAAATCACACCTAATTGCCTTTGGGTTTGTCATTTACTTG